TCACAGAGATAGGGCAACAATAAGGCTGCTGTACATAATAGCTACATTATGATGTATACTAGTAGGTCACCTTGTCAGGCTCTGGTGGTGGCTGTTTTATGGTGAAATCAGTTGCTAATGGTTGAAGAGAGAGAGAAGGTAGAAAGAGAGAGAGAGAGAGAGAGAGAGAGGTACATAGTAATGGAGGGAGAGATGGAGGAATTGCCTACCAATGAAGGGATTAGGTGGTGGTAGGTGCAGATAGTCAGGAACTTCAGGATCTGTAACATAACTATTATAAATTGATCTTCAACATAGATCATGCATACCCTGCCATGCATCTTTCCACGAGGCAGGTAGATCTGTAAAAAAAACACCAGGGGTATAGTTTTGGCAAGAAAAATGACTCTCTGGAAAATAACCTTCAGATGAGTAAGGAGTCCCGAACCATTCTTCTTTCAGTGGGCACTCGTCTCTGAACAGCTGCGAGCTCCACATGACGTTCACACTGTCTGGAGTCAAGCTTTCCGTCAGCTCAGTTATGAGCTGCACGTAGAGAATGCGTGTATTCATGAATCCAACCAAGGGCGTCACGAGTTGCCCTGTGTACAGTTGCTTTGCCCCTGCCTTCCCATAAGCCAAAGACGTGCTACGTATGTAGAGAATACTTATAGAACGATGTGTTCCACAACTGTGCAGGCTTGTGCTGCTCAGCTATATATACCTTTGGATCGTATTCAAAGAAGAGATACTTTCCGGTCAGGTAGTCTTCCTTTGAATAGTACTGCGTGAATAATAATAATAATACACATGCGTATATAGTTAGTAAATCAGTTCCGCAGAATAATAGACAATCTCTACTTGTAGCTGTGGAGGTATACGTAATGGATATATATGTACCTGCATTGCTTCGCACAACTCCTCAGTGTAGGGATCTGGGTCTTCCTGTATATTCACAGTCCAAGACTTGCAGACGCTATACAGGTATATTTCAGTTGTCACGAACCTCTTCCTTGAAGGTGAAGTTGTTTAGCTCCACAGTCTGTATCTCTCGAAATATCCTGTGGAGGTGTGGGTGCAACATAATATATGTTGATCTGTACCTCACATCGTTTCATAAGTACATGTGGCCCATTTTGTAAGTGCAGTCGTATACTGCAAAGTATAAGCCTGTCTGTACAATACGATATCAACAGCCTCTTTTAACTCAAACCAGCCATATAAAATATTGGTGAGGAGAAATGAAATTTGTCGTCATCACTCATGTCGCCTTACTGCAAGAAGCCGTGAAAAACGTTAGTAGAATAAATTTGGCAATTCTAAGTGTGACTGTCAACGTACCAAGTCAGGTTTGTATGTATGTATGTATGTTAGTTATGTATGTATGTATGTATGTACCTTTCTTGAGGTCCCAATTTCCTCAACATGTGAAGATAGTGGAGAACACACTGTAAACACTGGAAATTGAAAGACCAACAAAAGGTTTGCACACTTTCATAACTGGTCCTATGGCTGCCTTATGATTGCATAGCTCACATATATACGTACCTCTTCAATACGGTTATGGCCTTTATCCTGCATTCGTTTGTGGCAATACGGGAAGGATTATAATTACGCAAGAGCTTATAGTAAGAAGCATGAATTGTCACTAACCGTGAGAACGATGGTGCAGTTGAAGAGGCTGAAACAAGAGTTGTATTCAAAACCTTCCTGTCCGTTGCCCACGAGGATCTCGGTAGCAAGGTTTCTGGGGTGGAAAAAGGAGAGATTGCATGTCTACTGGGCTCATGCATGAAATGACAGGCAAGTCAGGATGGCCGAGCGGTCTAAGGCGCTGCGTTCAGGTCGCAGTCTACTCATGTAGGCGTGGGTTCGAATCCCACTCCTGACATATTTTTTCCCCAATTTGTGGCAGTTACAGTCACAAACCCCATACACCGGCTGCGTTATCCCCCATTTTTCAATATTTTAATGTTAATGCTCACTTTTTCTTGAGGTGGTGGAGCACACTTCCTTCTCCCTCGTGCCCCAGGAGCCAACTTATGTACTCCATTGGTTTGGCCCTGCATTGAAACGGGTCATTGACACATTGTGAATGGAAGCTTGAATCAACAAAACTCACCGATACTTGTCAAAGAGGCAGGGAAGCCGCCACAGCAGTTGAATTTCGTTCACGTCTGCTACAGGAACAACTGCCGGCAACATTGGGTCACACACAGACCTCAGATGATGTCAAACATATTAGCTCACCTCTATAGAGCCGGTGAAACTCCTCGGGGTTGAAGGCTGGCTGTGTATGCATAAATGCAAAGCATAATGCTAGTATTGGAGGCACACTGCGTTAGTTTGGTTTACCGCGAAATTGCCAAAGTTGGGAGGTGGCGTCTTACTACAGAGACAAGTTTCAAAAAGGAAAGGTAAAATGAACTATCAGGTAAAAGTCTCACTTGTGAGGTACGGCAGAGAACGAGTCTCTTGTCCATTCTTCCATATCATCCAGTGGATCTTAATAAATATATACCAAATAATGGAAAACATTCGACGGAGAAAGCTTTCAAACATTTTAAGGTTTGAGGACCATCTGCGAAAGTTTTATCTACAAAATCGAGGGGGCAGGATCTTTGTATAACTAAACATGCACATCAGGCAAAGAGAAATCTGCCACAGAATCACTAGAGTTTTCTCTCGTTTGAAAGTTTTCCTGCTATACTTTATTGGTAGCAGCCTACGGTACTCTATTCACCAGTGGACATGACAGCTACAGTCATATAGTGAGAAGAGTAATGCCTCCCGTAAAACTCCTTCAAGTGGTCCACAAGACGAAGTCCCTGCACGAATGAAAGAAAAAGGTTATTATCAGAGGTCAAACACAAGCAGTCCCATGTGGTCTAGTGGTTAGGATCCGGCGCTCTCACCGCCGTGGCCGGGGTTCGATTCCCCGCATGGGAGCCTTTTTATTTTCCTTCGAGATTTTAACCTTCTGGGGACGTCTTAACTATACCTTTTCATTTGGTAACTCCGTCAGTGATTTTTTGGTTCCTACAGAAGAGATATATAGATGCCATGACAGTCTGAAAGGTGTGCTAATATAATATTTATGCACCCCACACAAAAGTAGAGTAGGGGTGTTCTGGGTTTGCAATGGAGCAGAGCAAACGCTGCAATCTGTCAGAGTCACTCTGGAGCGAAGTCTGAAACTCTAGTATAATAAATTGAACAAAGAAAAAAACAAACAACCATCACTATATTACTATCTGCGAAATAATTTGCACAGCGCCAAAATATAAGGTTAGCCACACGCTTATCACTCACTGATAGAGTTTATAACTCAACTACAGTGTCAACTACAGTACATGTAGGACGTACACTATTTGACTGTACCTGCCATTTGTTGCTAAGCTCTCCTCTTTTTTTGCCATATTATTATGACTCAGTATGTATAATTCTATACGTGCATAGGTATACTACACTACGTGTAATAATTATATCTCCTCACCGCTGTCCACAGCCTCAATCTCCCTCTCCAGACTTGACTCCAGCAGAAGAGGACTGGCAAAGAAGTGAGCGAACCTGACAAGACAAAACTCAGGCTGGACATCACAATACATACAAGAGTGGTATGATATTCGTGTATAGGTTTCTCAATTTCTTACATATCAAGTGCTTTCTTGAAAAACTCTGGATGTACTGTAAAGTAAAAGACCGTCTGTAGAAAATATCAAATTTTCTGTGTTAAACGTTATCGCCATGATTTTCAGTATTATTTAATGTATGTACCTTCTCGTAGTCAGTGCTGGCATTGGAGTGTCCTCCATGTTTGCTCAAGAATGAATCAAATGTATTTTCTCCAGGGTACTCTCTACTGCCCATAAACACCACTATACAACAGCATAGGAACACACGCAGTTCAGGCAAAGATTTCAACCACTCAATCAGTTTATCGGACAGGACAGAGTAAAGAATTACAGAAAACTTGTATTCACAGGCTGTACTGCATTACAGTGAACTGCTGGGACCATGGAACACAGAGAGGTTTTCTTTATTCAGAGGTCAGTATTAGCACCAATGAAATAAGTGTCTGTAAAAATCAGAGCACTATCCTCTGTCTAGGGTGTCCACTACAAGAGGTTCCACTGTAGCTAATGACATACTGTGCTCTAAGAGATGGGCCAGACCAGGTATATCTGGGGGGTCTGACAGACTGCCTCCATTGATGCAGACCGAACAAGCTGCCTGCAAGGAACACAAATTTATCCTTTCGAAATGGGACGGCTTTGATCAAAAACCTTGATAATTGAGTCTTCCTCGCCTTCCTCTTCGCTGTCTGTTCCGGTCGACAGGTCAGAGTCGTCATCACAGCTCTCCGCAGTCTCCCCTGGACCTCTCTCTACACCTCCTTCTGCCTCTGGATCATCTGACCCACAACTGTAGCTACTCTCTTCTTCATCATCGTCCTCCTCTGTTCTCCCAGTGTCAGACCTCACTCGCTTTATTCCACGAGCAACAGTATTTCTCCTGTGCTCTGCGGAAACTGAAACTGTCACAGCAGAAGGGCTCATTTTTACTTCACGTACTCTTAGAGATGAGCAGTGCCACGACTCCATTATCCAGTCTGATTTCCCTATCATAATGTTAATAGTCTTTGCAACACAAAACAATGCATACTGCGTGGTCCCCACCTATACTCATTGGTGTCATACTCCGACTTTCTGATTTCCATCAGCTGCGCTGGTCGACAGTTCAGTGCTATGGCATGGAGAAACGGAAAACGCCCCGCCTTTTCACTGCCCTGCGCGTGTGCGCGCGCATGCGCGTTGTAAACCTTGCTCGCCCCCGCGCGCGCGCGCGCAAGAAAAGACGAAGTTTCGTGCACGTATCTACCTGACCTGACCTGCAACTTATTTGGGTATATACATATCACAAGCATATTTATATATGTCACCTATCGTCTTTAGCTGTGCATGCATGTTAGAGTTTATTATGGCATTCGCAGGTGGGTGTCGAGGAGAACAAAATGAGGAATCAGTTATCGTTACAATACACAAGGGTCATAACAAAAGGACAAGTACTATTTTAAACATTGTTGGTGTTACTGGTGTCTGAGTTTCTTGTGCTTTGTGCTGGGTACAGTTCGAGGTAGACAGGGTTCACAGAGGAGCTTTGCTGCTGCTGTTGATGGTTTGATTGGCCGTTTGTCTTTCCAGCCTCACCACCATGTCTTGTAACTGGTATTTCATACTCTGCAGCCACCCCATTGTTGGATTGGCTGGGCTGGGACACGTAGCGAGAAGTGGGTGGCGATCTCATTGAAGGCTTGGCAAGGATAACGGTATCGTAAATGTGATCTTCTTTCCAACTGGCACCCACAGAATAACTACAAAATCCATAATATAAACATGCGACATAATGAGAGCTTTGTACATAGCTATACATTGACACAGCCAGTGTTGCCTTACCTCCTGCTGTTGCTTTGTCTTCGCCCTGAAAAGATAAGTCAGGCAATTGGGTAACGCTTGATTGACCAAATTTGCCACATGCATTGAGACATGAATACACATCTACACTACATCTTGTCAGCTACAGATTGCACTCCAGTAGCCTCCTCCAATAGACAATAGGGCAGCAACAGTTACTACTGTAGCTACAATACATTGCTATGTATACTATACTTATATACCTCTCAATTTGTTCTTTTTGTAGCGGAGACAGCACACACAAGTAAGGAGCACTATTACAATGGAAATGGCGATAAGAGCTACTACAGGACCCACTATATATGTCAGTAGTTGTACAATGCTTGAGCCTGCAGGGTTGGCTCTTATCTCGTTGTCCTTCCGATCAGATGTAGTCAGAGTGAAACTAGGGTGGAGTAACACATTGGTGGTGGTAATAACACCATGTTCATCCCGTGTTTGATGACTAGAAATGCTCGCTGTTTTTGTAGGTGGTGGAGTTTTTGTTTTGAGCGGTTGTAGGAGAGGATTCTTTGTTGTTGCAGAAGGTGCAGTTTCGGTTGCCATCACCGGAGGGTGCATTGAAAGTACGGTCGTAGAGAGGCACAGTAGTGTTTGCCTGGGACGACAAGTTGAAGGCTGTCTATTGCACTCAAATTTTCATTCGCAGTCGAAGCATATGCCACGAAAAGTAACAAAGTCAATGTCCCTGCAGATGCACTGGTAGAGGTGGAGTGCAGGCACACTTGTACATCTTTGCTGCTGTGTCATTAACGCCTCGTCGGTCACGCCGCACCACCAGTAGCCCTCCGTTGATACGCTGATTCGTCTGCGCTGCAAGTCAGCGACAGGCTCGACCCTGGGTGCGGTACCATCGTCACTCAAAGCGGACGTGTTGTACCACTGGATACTGCCCGATATCCGAGCCCCGCGCACGTTCACTGAGCAACGTAACTCTATTTTGCTTCGTCCCACGCAGGCACCGATGGTATTGTTGCAAGCATCTTGGTAAGATGGGACGATACTGCAGGATTCTGGGGAGGTAGACTGCTTATGTTATGTATTACAAAGCGACAGTACCTTGACTGAGAGCATACTTGAAGCACAGAGAAGCAAAGACGACTAACCACATCGCGCGAACCTCCAACCAAACTGTAAGAAGATTCTACGCATGCGCAGAGGTTTTCTTCACGCATGAGCAATCAGTTCCGCGTTCTCTCTCCGGCCAGACAAGCAACAGAGAAGCAGAACGAAGCATGGAAAAGCAAAAGGGCAATTTGTTAGTTGCACTGGTGTTAACACTTCTATATTACTGCCAAGGTATAATACGACTTTCAACATTGCTCGAGCTGTGCAATTTTTTACAACAGAATGCGTCCTTGGAGTCAATTCTACGGACAATTCGACGTTGTCTCTCTGCAACTACACTAGCTGCGATTCCTCCTCCTTCAGTAAGGAGCTACGGACGGCTCTGGCGGTAAGCGGCGGGTCAGCGGTTGTGGGAGTGGGCGGCGTACTAGTGTTGTTGGCGGTGATACTCGTCTGCAAGCGGAGGTGCAAGAGGAGAAAAAGCTACACACCAGAAGCAGGCCAGGGAGCCCCCGCACGAAGAGGCAAGCTGCGTATATAGCATTTTTACGATTATAGTAGGCATAATTATTACTGGATAAGAATACAGTGCATACCGAACTAGTAGTGAACTGGTCAGGGTACTCCATAACTATACTACTTTCAGCTTAGTGGCACCGTAGGCTTTACGAAGTGTGGCTGTAATTTATTGTGTGTCCTCTTTGAAAGAAGGATGCATACACGTCTGTTTCAATATCCCAAATGTGAATGCCCTCATGATGCATGCACAAATGCCACCAGGGAAAAGGTTGTGTACTTTGGGAAGAGGCCAACGTTTCATCAACATTCACAAAACCCTGTTTTCCTTTCACTGTCCCATGGATGGCATCAGTAGTGACTATATAATATACGGCCTTTTATTCATTCATTTCACAGCCACCACTTTCAGTAAAAGGTCGATGAAGGGTTCTCAAAGTGGGTGAGTTTTGCTGGCCTCTGCAATCATTACACACCTGCTGTTTTATTATTATTGTGTACAGGACACCACCTGACCTGACACACAACTACGAGACTGTCCTACCAAACTTTAAGAAGCCCCCGGCCAAAGCTGCAGCACTGGCACAAAACTACGAAATTCCTCTGCCAAAGGCTGCGACTCTACCACGTGATCTATCCACGTGTGCTGGAAAAGACCCGATAACCCCCATCATGAAATTCTCCCAGAGCGTAAAAGTGAGGGGCAGTACCCCCGAAGCAGTGTACATGAATGTTAAAGAGACGCCCACTGGTGAGGATGTGTGTGCAATGAAACCCGTGGAACCACCACAAACAGTGGGACAGGGAGCTTCACTCACTCACAGGGAGGCAATGGGACTATGCCTGATCATCAGGTGGCTGAAATTGAAATGGGACCAATTTCCCCGGGTGATCCCTGGGCAAATAACTAACGGAAGCATATATGTTGCAACACTCAAGTACCCTTTTTCTTTTGGTTCTATCAGGTATATATTATGTTTGATAACTGCATCCAAGTATATACATATACCTTTTAAATCACCCTTTTCCGCTTGGTTTTTCTCGGGTATTTTTATGTTTAAACTACACTGAAGTATGCATGATACCTTAAATCACCCTTTTCTGTCAGGTATTTTTATGTCAAATAACTGCAAATGTATCCATACGTATGTATACATGTCGTGCAATTCTAATGTTACTCAAAGGCTAGTTTGGTCTGTCCATCCAAGCTGCAGGGAAGTTTCTTGTAGACGAGTCGTCGCTTGCGCAGAGGGCTAAGTTTCACTGATCCGAGACTAACGTTAGGAGATGGGAAGAGGGAGGACTCTGCTGTAGTGAAACGAAAAGCAGAGCAGTGTATATGCGACATGCACGCACTCTATCAGTCCCATGTACACAACACAAACAACGGTGTTGCTCCCATTTTGGCTATATATCCAGTGTGGGATCTAAAACAACTCTAGAACAAATACTGAGATATTATATATACACTTTTACCAGCTCACCTCCTCCGCTCTGAGGTGATATGGATTGGTTGGGCACTCGGCAGTCAAATAAGGGGCTCCTTGGAAGAGGTCTCTATAAGTTTGGTGCAAGGTTTAACACATCAAAGAGTCTTGTAATATAACGGGGGGAAAAACCACACCTTTTGTCTGAATCTCTGACTCGTAGCTCCCGGGGATGTGTCTGAAAACAGAGGAGACTTTACTCGGGGCTCTCGCCCACCCGAGCTCTGCCTGGAGTGAAACGTCATCAGACCCTCAACTCCCTGAACTTTAGCCCACCCACCAGGCCAATACGACACACCCTCTGACACCCCTTGCCCGCTACTGACTGTGCTCTCTGTGTATCTAGAGCCATTGTCGAGGGCTGCGGCCCTGTCGTTAGCCTGTAAACGAGGCCCCTCTCTCAGTGGACTTGGGCCAATGTCCAGGTCGAGAGACTTGATAGGTTGACGACGCGGCGTTCTCCTCACCATACCACTGGTGAGCAGTCTCGGAGGCATGGGGTCGTTCCCATAATACTCCTTGTAGAGGTTCTCGGGCACAAGGAAGTGGTGGTCACTCAACTTGGCCGAGCCGTCTGCACCTCCTGAAGGAGAGCTAGTGGTCCGGGGCTCAAAGAGGGAGATATGGGCCGGAGAAGGACTCTTGCCCATGGTTGTAGTAACAAATGTTGTTGTGGAGTAGTTTTGGCCACTTTGATTTTTATCGTGTGGCAGCTGTGTGTTTTGAAACCTTTGGTGACGTTGCTGAGGAGTGAAGTGATTAAAATCAGACACTCTCTCTTCAACCAACTCAGTGTTAGGAGATTGATGTACGATGGAAGTGGGTTCGTTGGCAGTGACAGGCTGTGAAGTGAGGAGACCTGGCATGTCACTGTTCTCCTCAGACGACCAGAGAGCTGATGTACCAGTGGGGAATGAAGGTAGCAGTAGCTGTTGAGTGTGCTGTGGCTCTGTATCATGATTGACAGCACTGGTTGGGTAGCTTTCTTCAGTAGTATACTGGAGACTGTCATCTAGGTTGATGGCTGTGGTGGGTTCGTTGTAAGTGTGGATTCCCTCTGAGTTCTGCCAGTGGTTGCTAGCCTCACTACCACCAGTAGTAAGAGGATGGACAGACAGGTTGGGTTGAAAACACACGTGACACATTTCTGTAAAGAACTGCAAGACAAACAAGGAAGTTCTCGTAATGGTAGAGTATAGAAAACATTGATGTGTTGTCTTAACACAAAGATATGTATAATTATACCTTTGCAACTTTCAGTGGTAGCCAAGGAAACTGTTCTTGGAGCTGGGTCAAGTTTAGCATCAGGAGTTGTCTCAGAGGATGTCTTCTTAACATCAGTAGAGCACTGAGCCGTACCATGACTTACAACATTTACACACTCTTATATACCTGTTACTCACCTGAATGAATTGAGGCAAGGAAATCCCAAAAGAAATCTTTCGCGCTGTGTACCATTATACAAAACAGCCTATTAGGTCTACAGTTCATCTACACACTAGTATGCTAAGGGGTCTTACCATTTCCATGTCATCCGCTATCCACTCCCTATCGCTCCAATCCTGGTCATTTACACCCTATGGAACATACACATCATTACAGAATGTCGCAGTCAATGAGCCACTCACAAAAGTTTTCTCTAAAAATATTTCTAAGTCATAAGATTCAAGAATAAAACTTGCAGATTACTTGTTCCGCCGCCATAATTATGATACAAAATCAGCTCACAAAATTCATTGGGAACACTTTCACAGCCGTACCACAAACCACGAAATAGGCAAGTATTATTTAATTTAACCCTTTGGGTTTCGCAACATATGTACCTCGTTCTGTTTCCGAGTGTCCTCGGAGATGGTGCGGACCAGCTGTGCTGCCTCGTGGCAGTCTGAGACACAGACAATCTTCACCAGATAGTCGTCGTCCCCATGCTGCAGGGAGTAGTGGGCCACTGAGGCATGCAGTCTGGCCAGGTTCAGCGGAACACTTCCTCCATACGGATAGCTGCAGACACATCATAATATAGCGTTACTTACACTTCCTCGTCATGAATAGCTGCAGACACATCACAATAGAGTGTTACTTACACTTCCTCATTGTGAATAGCTGCAGACACCATACCAGGTCCTACCATGCATTATTATACACTCTGGAAAATTTCGCACTGGTTAAAATGGGCAAACTAGGCTTTAGAAGCATGCAACAGGTAACAAAAACTACTAAATTGAACTTGTCACCAAATATGCAAGGATAGCTACAGTGATATACTTTGCCTCAGACGCGGCATAGAGTATTATCCACAGTCTCTGATACTGCATCGAGAGGGCAGCAGTCCTGGTGCTGAGTCTGTGGACCCCAGCATCAGTGGAGAGCACAGCCAGTGGGTGGACCAGAGCACCGGTACACTGGTCCACTATCAGGTCGCCGTGCGAGAAACCAGGGCCCTGCAGGACAGAAAACCAAGTCTGTTGGTGTTGGTTTATACACTGAATCTGTACAATTTTCTTCTTCAGTGGTTCGTATTCCCTTGAGATCAGGACCATGTTGAACCTATGGTAGAATAAGGTACCTTGTAAGAACGGTGAAAGCCTCTGAATAAGGAACACCATGGGTACACTTCAAGAGTGTCCCTTATATAGAAGTATCCCTTATTCAGAGACAATCTTTAGTACACTAGCTAATGTATTAGTATGGGGCAGAGCTAGGGTATATACTTTGCAGAGAGGTGTCCGTTTTCTAAGGGGGGTCACTGCATAGTAGTTGGAAACTACACTGTTTGGTTAGAGCATGTTATACCTGGACTCAAGGAGTTGTAGTAACTTTGGAGAGTTGGTGATATTCTCAGAGGCAATGAGGGTGTACTGGAAGGCCATGACTGATAGCGAAGATCCTGTGCATACACACAAGCACGCAAATGACGTTGGTGGTTCTATCACAACTACTATTTGGTGAGTGCTAAACTAATTGGGTTTGTGCATGCACAGCATCAGTGTATATACAACTGCATGGTCTCTTCCCGAGATGCTGTTCTATAAAGCATCAACCATAACTGCACAAGTCATAGCCAGAGATTTTGGTCATATATGCCGCACAGGGTCAAACGAACCTGACTTGGCGAGGGAAGTTTGAGATACCTCCCGCAGTGTGTTGAGAACCAGCCACTGAGTGGGGCGGAGACCGGGCGGCGGTCGGCCATTGAGAAACAGAGCCCCCTCTCCGAGAGGGTGGTACTCCACCAGGAGCCCCACCTTCTCCCAGGGAAAGGTGGCCACAACGGAGGACACTGGCACCACCAGACAGTCGTAGTACTGGAGTCTAATAACACAACAGTGAACTCTCTTAACAGTTGCTCTCATGGGGTGTTTATGCATCTATACAGTTTTCAAAGGAGGAAAAAATGTGGATTGTATGTCCTCCTGTACGTATATAGGTCCCGCGACATCCACTAATGGTCCTGCCCTTGCTTTCACTAAAAAAAGTGTTGCTCTCCCCAACATTTCCAGCTAGAGTGTTACCTTTCTTCCAGTGTCTCAAGGTAGAGAGGGTTACCAGGGCTCTCACAGGCAAAGGAAAACACACACGACTTCAAATCTAAGGATTGATAGGCACACACACACACAGTTTGAAGCAAAAGAACTTGCCGGGAAAAAACACTGCAGCATTTACCAGAAATGGACTTTAGAAAGTCGAGAATGTCACCAGACACTGTTGAGAAATCCTTTCCTATAACCACCACAGCCTACACACAAAAAAGTGAGAAACACAGTGATACATACCTCTGCAGAAAGACTGATTACCTTCTCATGCGTCTTTCTCCTGCTGGTTTTCCAGGCGTCCACAATTGAAACCAGTGAGTGGAGCTTGGGATGAGGCATGTCCTGCACTCTCAACAGAAGATCTGCCAGACCCTGCTTTGCAGCATCCAGGCAACCTACATCATCAGATGTAATAATAGGCACACCTCTGTATTATCTGTCATCACCTCCTATCAGTTCCTCGTACTTTTCATTCAGGAATGCGAACCTTCCTACAAGTGAACGTCTCAAAAAACAAACTCAGAATGAGGGAATGGACTCACTAAGACCGGTGGCTAGGTTGATGTCTACGATGCCGTCAGCGAGAGACACAAGGACATAGAGAGAGGCAGCTAGCTTACAACTCTGCAGTAGAACACCTGAGACCACAGATAGTGCAAAAAACAGTTTTTGAACTCAGGTTCCAGTTGACTAATTAGAGTGTAGCGGGAAACTACAGAGGTATAAACTTTTCGTGATTTTTGAGCCAACCACTAAAGTTTTCTGTATGGGGAGGAACCTATATACGGTTTACAAACATTCTATATACAAAAGTTCGTAAAATATCACTCCAAATTGTAATAGTTTTCTCTCATAAAAATTTCCCACCGCACGTCAATACGTACCCTCTTCCTTAGAGCCCTGTGAATCAGCCAGGCACTTCTGCTGCTGTTTGAGAAAGAACTTGACGTCATCTGGGTTGAGACCGGCAAACGCAGTCTCTCTCCCGACCGGCAGACCGTGAGCCGCCAGTGCCTCCATGATGGGGGCCCCATAGTGAGTCACCTTCCCCAGAATCAGCTGGTGCTCCCCTGGAGCGGTGTGAGGGTGTTTCATCTGTCTTTACCAAATGTGTATTACTGTTTAAGTAGACGTCTTGTAGCGTGGGGGATTTAGCCCAGATTTCTCCGCCTTCCACTGGATTCTCCAGATCCATCTTTCCTTCTGGTCTCTTCACTGCAGTTATAGAGTTCCTACAAGTACTTCCACACTCACATATGTAGCACAGACTACAGTACAGTACGGCACACACATCCACAATGGGCATTATAAAACGGGTTTGGTAGCAACCAACAGCACTTCAAAAGTTGTCTAACCTTCGCTGCTGTTGCTTGTGTCAGACATCTTAGCCACCTCGGGAGAGAGTTTCCCCGTCCGCATCATGATGAACAGTTCCAGAGGAGACGCACTATCGACGCGCTGCAGACGCTCAATTCCTCCTCTCTCTCCGCCACTTTTCAGAACAGGCCCAGGTCTAGTGGTAACACTGGAGAGTCTGCTGGGGACTGGTACTTGCCTGGTCTTGGTCAAGTACCCCACTTGGCCTTGGGCAAAGGTTATACCAGATAACAAGCAGTTTGCTTGATATCATGAGCTAAATATAATGTACCTGAATGAATGCTGGGGACGTCTACCTCAACCACACCAATATGACTCTCTTCAAGTTCATCCCCTACAGCAATAGGACGCATGCACATAGCTATGCATACACGGGGCCTTCTGGAAACAAGCACACAGCAAAACAATCACTTTCCTTGCCTATTGCTACTGTGAACATGTCTTTTGATTTTGGTTTAGACAGTGCGGGGGGATGCGCGAACGCAGTCCCCCCCCTAACAAAAATTTCGCACCCGAGTCACCCAGTTTGGGCGATCGCAAGCTTCAACAAGGCCAAGTGCAATGCCGAGTCTCCACCTGGAGGAACCGCCTACTTGATCACGGTATCCTCTGTGCCAGGTAAGTTATCTCGCTCTCGAAGCTGCTGACTTATATACTCAGCTTTGACCGAAACAGTTGTGGTTTTGAGCCCTCCTATTCACACCTCCTGTATCTGTCGTGTGCAAAATACTATGTGAAACCACAAGCATGCCACTACACTGCTAATTCCTTTACACATTAGAGTGCACCCCCCCACCACCACATCTGAAAATTTGACAGAAACCATTTTTGCTGGTGACCCAGGTTTACGCTTAACTCTGTGAATTCTACCACACCTCGAAATTTGACAATACCTCTGTGAAATACAGATATGGCAGACGTTAACTCTGCAAATCAACCAACTGCACTACACCATGACCATCCTGAATTTTCTCGCATCCTCACTCTTTTCATTGAACTTCTCTGTTTGTCTTCTATGTAAATCTTCCTTCTTGCAAAGCTACATTCTCCTGCCTATATACCCTCTCATTCTTAATACAACAGGCTCACACAGGTTTTTATCCTCACACTCAAGTTACTGCTCCGTTTTTCCCAGGCCTGAAATCCCACTTCCCTACATTACAAACCCATGCCAAACACCTCACCCCTCCTCCTTCTACGTACTTGGTTCCTAACTGCAGTGTTTGACTTTTGTTCATAAAATGCGGGGGGATGCGCGAACGCAGTCCCCCCCCTAACAAAAATTTCGCACCCGAGTCACCCAGTTTGGGCGATCGCAAGCTTCAACAAGGCCAAGTGCAATGCCGAGTCTCCACCTGGAGGAACCGCCTACTTGATCACGGTATCCTCTGTGCCAGGTAAGTTATCTCGCTCTCGAAGCTGCTGAATTATATACCCAGCTTTGACCGAAACAGTTGTGGTTTTGAGCCCTCCTATTCACACCTCCTGTATCTGTCATGTGCAAAATACTATGTGAAACCACAAGCATGCCACAACACTGCTAATGCCTTTACACATTAGAGTGCACTGCATATTCCCCACCACCACCACATCTGAAAATTTGACAGAAACCATTTTTTTGTGCTGGTGACCCAGGTCTCTACGCTTAACTCTGTGAATTCTACCACACCTCGAAATTTGACAATACCTCTGTGAAATACAGATATGGCAGACGTTAACTCTGCAAATCAACCAACTGCACTACACCATGACCATCCCGAATTTTCTCGCGTCCTCAATCTGTTCATTGAACCTCTGTGTTTGTCTTCTACGTACATCTTCCTTCTTGCAAAGCTACATTCTCCTGCCTGTAATATACCCATCTCATTCTGATAATACAACAGGCTCACACAGGTTTTTATCCTCACACCCAAGTTACTGCTCGGCTTTTCTAGGCCTGAAATCCACATTACAACCCTTGCCAAACACCTCACCCCTCCTCCTTCTACGTACTTGGTCCCTAACTGCAGTGTTTGACTTTTGTTCATAAAATGCGGGGGGATGCGCGAACGCAGTCCCCCCCCTAACAAAAATTTCGCACCCGAGTCACCCAGTTTGGGCGATCGCAAGCTTCAACAAGGCTAAGTGCAATGCCGAGTCTCCACCTGGAGGAACCGCCTACTTGATCACGGTATCCTCTGTGCCAGGTAAGTTATTTCGCACTCGAAGCTGCACAGTTATATACCCAGGTTTGCCAGCAACTGTTGTGGTTTTTGCGTGAATACTATTTACGACTTTGCCGTCGCGCGCAAGCGCAGAAAGGGAGTATATACGTCACCGTTATCGTACACGTAAGCCTGTATACCCGGTCTTGCATCCGCTGCAAATTTTTCCGCAGCGTCGTCCGGTTCCGTGATGTCCCGCTCAATTGGGCACCGCAGACACACGAGTGCTCGCTGCACAGCAGTCATAAGGCGGTAGAACGAAGCAAGAGGATCCCAGGGAAGAGCTAGTTCACAACTGCAGGAAAAACATCAGTGTCAATGTATTACGCACACAAAAGTCCCAAAGACTAACTCGCCACTGAGATTTATAGGACGGAGATCGCAGTATGCCTCCACCAACTCCAAAGGCCTGCAGCTCTTTAGCATAGCATCAAGATAACTACTCGTACCAGTATCTGCAGACAGGCAGCACACACATTATCAAAGAACCAAGTTTTTCGCTCTCTTTGCAAGATGTGAAGCACTCACAGGGTAGCTTGAGAGCCAGAACACTATCAAATGTCCTACAGTCTTCCTGAAGATGGGTCAACAGTCGGTCTTCACTCATTGGACTCAGCAGATCCCTAAAGAGGTACGTATCTATGTAGCTATACACGAACTCTTCTACAACAGGCCGTGAAATGTCTAACAGTTTGTGTGGTGAGTTGGGGGAGACGGGGAAGGCCTGGAGGCGAGCGAGGTGAGCTGGGAGGGAGGAGGAGGAGAAGAGGGAGGGGGAGGAGAAGAGAGGAATGCAGGGAGACTCCAAGATGGCGTGACCAATCCCAGAATCCTCAGAATCACGACTCACATCTAAGAAAACCGACAGAAACCACATTAATTAAGTCAATAAATGCACCGAGTACGTGATATATATTAGATCCGAGTATATATTAGCAATGTGTTTTGAAAACCTCTAATTTTGCCTGTTTATACCGTGCTATATACCATAGGAAATGTACATAAGAGCTATATATAGTCAGTATTATGGAGTCAGTATATAAGTTGGGCAATTATGAGTAGCTATAATTATGCTGATTAAAAAAACTTGAGTGAGACCTGCATTGTTGAGTTGGAGGAAGTCAGCGGAGCTAGACCTGGGTGTTGGGGCTAGTGGTGGGGAAGAGAAATGGAGCTGTCTCCTCTCTGTTTCCTCCAGTACCTCACTCACCAACTCTCTCAGTTCTGTGAGGAGATAACCATCCATACACTTGGCAGTAAACTTGACATATGCTTAATATCTGCCCAAAGAGCTTTACCCAATAATGTACTGCCTGCGATTACCTACAAATTTTTGCCAGCTGTTTATGATGGCCAGTTTGAGGCTAAATCGACATCCAGTTATAAGAATTTCTTATTACACAGTACCTTCTCCTGGTTTCAGCGTGTCCTCACTGTCTCCCTCATCCACCACAGGAGACGGTAGTTGAGGTAGAGGAGGAAGGAGGCTGGGAGATGAAGGCTCCAGCAGGGACCCACTGATGATGGGACTGGCTATGTGCAGCTCTAGGACCAGGTCGCTCGCTGCACCGTCAACGTCTTCTCGTGGGAAATGGTCCAACTCTCGAGCCGCCGTGATTGTGTCAGTTATTACAGGGGCTTCCTCTTGGAGAGACCCGGCTTCCAACAACTCAAAGTCGGATCTGAATTAATCACAGAAAACTGTCACACAAGAAGCCTGAAGAGTAATGATGCAGTAGATGATGCAGGTTTTTGTGAATCGTGGTATAATTACAGTCTATTTTCCCAATTGAGAACTCTTGTGCATTCTTAATACTTTTACCTTTATTCTTTTGTGTCTATGCATAACCCTAGCACCACGGATACTTGTGTTACTGTTATCAGAGGCTTATCATGCACGGCTCTATACAGCATGCATAATCATGGGTACCTTCTCGTGTGACCCTACGGCATGCATGCATGTGTGTACATGTACCTGTAGATGTGGGAGTGGGAGTATGAAGTGCCGGTGGAGGGGTCGACGAGAGGGTCCGAGATGAGCTTTGGTTTGAGTCTGGCCACCAGGTCAGTCACAGTCGGCAGGGAGAACAGGAGGCAAGGGAGGTGGAGTGGACTCTCATGTTCCTCCAGGTACAGCTCTGCCACCTCTGATGTATAGGACACACACAGTTCACATAATACCTATCATATTGTACACAGACCTATCATATTGTACACACAACTTCAATGGGTGCAAGCACTGGCATTGATAGCTTTCTTCCAAGATGGATCCACGCAACAAAATAGAAATTCTCAGCTAAGCTTCCTAGCTACTACTTATTATAGGTTTTTAGCCACAATAAAAAAAATGTGAAGGTGATTGTGTGTCGAACTCTTTTTGGTGGCCTGTTTGCTGTGAAACAACAGGGGTTTGAGACAAGCAACTGTGTTGATTTTACTCTCTTGGGCTGTGCATGTATATAGTATGCACACAGTAACATGATACAGGCGCTTCATACTATATAGCTACGTAGACACTCACCAGATAACGTGTTCTTCTCCCATCCCCGCAGATTTTCAGACGGGAAATCCTCCCCGGACGACCCATTTGTGTCGTCCCTCCCCCCTGTCCCCGATAATGATGACATCATAACACGTTCCACGGCCATGTCGATCTCTTGGGTCAGACCAAATGAGGATGTCCCTGTCCCTATCTCCTCGTCATCGCTATACAGAGGGAGAGCCTTTACGAGAGAGCCCTTTTAGTTCATTGCATCTCATACGGGAATTTACACTGCTAGTATGCATTGTGCTCGCGGAATCTTCTAGAGTTAGAAATTTTTCTCACGTGAGAAAAGTTAGCAAATATGTAAGATGTAGGTGCTGTCAGAACTGCTTGTCTGAATGTTGACAAAACAATAGGAACCACCAAATTTCACAGGTGTTAAAACTTTAAAATCTGCTAACTCACCTGAAAAGGCTCTCGGATCCAGATTCCTCGCCCCTATACTTCTCCACACACTGTTTGTTTGAGCCCCCTGCCCCTGATATTAGACCCCTCAAACGAACCCCCGGGGGGTCACCCAGCATCTGGAGGTCGGAGCAGAGTTGTTGGAAGAGGGATTCAGGAGGCACGTGTGACTGGAGGTTGAAGTCTGCATCTGGAGACACTGAAAAATGAGAGCAGAGAGAATGTGCAACACATCTTGGCAAGTGAATGCAAGAGAGAGCGATCGTCAAAGAATGAACCACTGTACGTGATATTCACATTGTCAAGCGGCAGAGACGACAGAAAATCGTGAAATTCCGAAGACTAGGAAGGCCTTTGATGTATACAGTAATATATAGGTGGTAGGGGGGCACCAGTTAATAAGTGAGGCAGTAGTTATTGAGCTCCTTCTCCCCTAAGAAAACCTTGTACCTTTCATTGGTAATGTATTTAACAATCCAGGTAGTCGTGAATCAGTTATGCAAGAGTGCAAAACAAGCCTTTGAACCTAGACACACGCTGCAGTCACCTCGACTTACACAATATCCAAGGCATGGTGCAGTGTATGTTGTCCACCTCCCCCTTGTGAGCATAGGAGTCCACTATCTCGATGTGGGCCGGCGGAGCGAGGCTCATGCGGTCCACCACTGCCCGCTGCTCCTGCAGGGCCTGATGTCATGGGACAAACGTTAACCAGTTAGCAGAGTGAGCAATAGCATAAGGGATGATGGGGGGTAGCTGAAGAATTCAAGGCAAAATCATAGTATATTCTACCCCCTGTTTTTGTCTTCAAATGTAGCTCTGGTCCGTGCAGTTTTGCAAAGTTTTGAGTATCTAGCAGTAAGCTTACTTCTGAGAGGTAATCTGTGGCCCAGAATTTCGGCATCTCTCTGGAGGACTTTCACCTGCGCTTCCCTCGAAAGATAGAGGCTACGTAGCCAGCTATAGGGAGAGAGAATCATTCGCAGTTCTAAGAAACAGCTGCTAGATCGTAGTGGGGATGCCCCGCTAATTAATGGGCAATTAAATCATGCGGGAAATCCCCGCGTTAGAGACGATGGAAGAGGGAGCTTCACTGGGAGAGAACGGAGCCGGGGAGTTGCATCTGGAGCTGTGGTATCTGCTCACCTCCGCAGCGGCTCTGCTGCTCGTGTGTTTCTACGCCGTGTACATGTCCGTTCACCTCCTGGCCCTCTCCTACGCGTGGGTGTCCGACTGGTGTGCTCAAGTTTAGCTCATAGATGGTTTTCACGTGCTGTAGGTGGCGATGGCTGCACTCCAAGACGGCTGAACTCACGCAGCAGAAGTTGACTGGTGTTGAGTTTGCACCAGGAGTGTCCATCATCAAAGTAATCTCAAATACTAGCCGTTAGGCTTGCTTGCTTTGCTTTTTTACTTTGACAAGTGAGTAAGAGGTACTTTTTCTGATGTAGCCGATAATTGGGTGTGACCCTCACCTAAAGACCAATCTGGAGAGTTTCTTTCAGCTAAAGTACCCAAAGGTAAGAGCACGAACGGTTTATGTAACGTGCCAGCGAACAGATGAATTAACTGAGTGTTCGCGAATTACTTCTCTGCCGATTTGGATCCTCTCCAACTACGTTAACTTAAACTTATGCTGCTATATGGTATACCCGTAGCTGCATATATGTACGTGTACTGTATATAATGAAGCTCCCCATTCCGTACCGTATGTTCCGTGGTGGCAGTATGAGATTCTGATGTGTGTGGCCGAGATGGGAGAAGTCCCCAGTCTTCAGGTGGTCCATGACCTACTGTCGCAGTATCCTCACGTCCCCGTCAGGATTCTTCAAGGTAAGCAGGCCGAGAAATGGTAAACTTTCTCCCCTCCCCACCTTTGAAAAAATCACCTCCCAGTTTTCCCACAAGAATGATTCGATGTTCCCCAGGCAATTTTTGATCTTGTGGTGTTCCCTGTCATTAGCAAAGTACAGGCTTTTAATGAGAACCACCAAAGCTTCGAACCTGTATTCTTTCTTCTGAAGTATCGGCAATTGAGTGTTCGACTGTACAAGCTGTGCTTGCCCTTACTAGGGGCTACTGAGAGTATTTGATTGTGGCTGATATTGTATTATGCAGGTGAAGCATCTATTGGGGTGAACCCCAAAATCAACAACATGATTGCCGCCTATAGAGCTGCTCAGTACAATCTCATATGGATATCCGATATTAGCATTCTGAGTTAGTCCATTAACTATGTACTTTGGTGATAAACCTCCATACTATGTTTCTTCCAGCTACACCCCATACTCTCAGTGAGCTAGTGTCTCACATCTCACCCAATCACATTGCCCTAGTCCACCAGGTATTATAATTATATTTTTAACGTGTGTGTTGTTTGCTGCCCTTATTGTGCTTCCCACAGCTTCCGTTCACTACTGGAGTAAAGAGCTTTGCAGACTGCCTGGACAAGGTAGTGCAGCTACATACCAAACAACCCTTTCCTTCCTTCATCTTTCTCCTTTTCTATAATCCCCCTTCTCCATTTTTTTCTCCCTCCCTCCCTCCACCAACAGGTATACTTTGGAACGCAGCACTCTCGTGTGTACCTAGTGGCCAACGTGTTGGGCCAGAACTGTGCCAATGGTATGTCGTGGCTGCTCAAGAGAAGCTGTCTGGAAGAGGTAGGCGGACTCGCCGCCTTTTCTGAATATCTCGCCGAGGATTTCTTCATCGGGAAAGCTCTATGGTCCGGGTGAGTCTACTATACTTTAGAGTTGGTGCTCCTGCTCTAAACTGCTCGTTGAAACGCTCGATTATTGATTAAAGAGGCATTCTAGTGTACATATTAGTCTCGCAAAAAGTTTGTGTACATGCTTCTGAACTGACTCCCAGCATTTTGCTTAGCGTATGGTGAAAATTATATGCTTATCTTCACAATTCTAGACTAAAACACGTCTTGATATCTCGGTCTAATGTACTGTCATTCAATTGACTAATGTACATATGGTAATCCTCTGTGTGTATGTATGTAGGGGTTGGAGGTTTGTGTTGAGTACTCTGCCAGCCTTCCAGAACCCCAGCCATCGCTCTCTCACCTCCTACCAGTCCAGAATCATCAGGTCTCCCTCTCTCTCTCTGTCCAGCTTTATTTACCGCATCTTTTTGTACAAGGATGGAATAATTATGATGGCCCAAGTATTATCTCCTGCGTGTATACAACAGGTGGGGAAGACTGAGAGCCACAATGATGCCGTGGCCAGGTCTTGTGGAGCCGTTTACCGAGTGCTTTGGTCTGGGTCTCCTCGGAGCTCTGTGTCTCCACCGTCTCCTCCACATACACCCTCTCCTCTTCCTTTTAGTGCACACCTCCGTCTGGTTCACCTTTGACCTCGTCCTACTAAAACTGATTGAGGTATGGTTGCATATACTTTGTGTAGTATATATATAGGAAGCATTTCAGAGAGAAACGTTTTGGCAAATTTTGCCGCTCGATGCTGCCCCCTCTGTGACAGTTTCTCTCGCGGATGGAAAGCACTTGTGCAGACATAAGTTGGTAAAAGGTTGTTTAAAGTGGCTTGTAAAATGAAAGCGAGAAGAATAAAAAAAAACGACAAGGATGGGATTCGAACCCACGCGTGCAGAGCACAATGGATTAGCAGTCCATCGCCTTAACCACTCGGCCACCTTGTCACCTTTGGCTTAGTGTTGATGAAGACTTTACACGGCTCATTTCTTCCTTCATCCCTCCACCACCTCCCCTAGAATGGTCCCCTCCCCCAGCTGTGGCAGGTGGGTGTGGCCTGGTGTCTCCGTGAACTCTGGACCTTCCCTCTCTTCATGGGCGGAGTCTGGAGTCGTGAGATCCTCTGGAAAGGTGGTCGTTTCAGACTCAAATTTGGCGGGAAGGCAGTCAAACTGGATTAACAGTTCATTCAGCTACATGCCATGGCTTATCGTCTCTCCCATGTTTGTTTATATATCAGTGATCATATAATGTGGCTGGTATGAATATCATGGTCTTTTCATAGTTTTTGAGCAAGCGAGTCCATGGGACATTGTTGTCACCATACACCATACCAGAACATTCTAAGTACGTGTATATAACACTAGGTTAAATTTTCACTTGCGTTCCCTCGCCAAAAATGGGGTCGATGTACAAGACGTACAGAAAACTAAACGATCATGAAATTTGCTGGATATATACTGTTGTACAGTGTCACCGATTAACGATATAGAAAGAGTGCATAGTTTCAAGACCGCTGTTGCGCTACCTTGAGCTACCGGAGGTATGCTGTGTCTTGCGGGGTCTGTGTGTTCCTTTGACAGTGGTCCGGTGCATCACCCGCAGACCGACCTGACTGCGAGGGAGCTGGGTGTCGAGGCTGGCCTCGTGACCCACCGCCAGGTTGTCACTTATAATGAAATCACCCTCTCTCCACTGCATAGGGCAGAAAAGTGTTTAATGTAAAGGCAACCTACAGACAATACTGTACTGCACACTCCAAGGTTATGGAGGAGACCTAGAATGGTTGGTTAGGCTCTCCTCTCTCCCTTCTGTTTTATAAAAGTACGAAAGGTTTAGGCCACCCTACTTTCTACAATGTAATTGCACTGCATACTTCACCAATAGTCAAGGCATACAGAATGATCGGTTGGCCTGTCCTTCTCCCAACCATCTCACAAAAAGTACGAAACGTTTAGGCCACCCTATTTTCCACCCTCACTCCAGACCATAGTGCAACTGTAAACCTGTATGGTGGCATACCTTGTGAGAGTAAACGTGTCTGCGATTATCTCTAACAATTTGACGGTGGATATCGGAGAGGATTTCCCCAATCTCCCCGGGCTCTGTTCTCCTGGCGTCTGGTGAGCCGTAGTCCCAGATGAACGCCTCCACCATCCCCGTGTGGAAACACAAGGTCTGCGATCGAGATACTCATGGCAGCAATGGTGGCACGCAGATTAGGAGAAGAGTAATAGTGTATAACCCCTCTTATCTCGACCGAGTGTCGTTAGTGTATGTGCTCTTATTTCAAGGGTGCAAGAAACTGTTGTTGGGAAACAAAAGGGGTCCTAATTACAACATTCGGGGGCGTCCTTACAGAAGTAAGGTTCCACATGTTTTTACAGTGGAAGGGATATTGATGGAATCAGCTTGCTAACATGTTATTATGCGTAGCTTGCCAACTGATTAAAGGAAATGCTACAGCAACTAAGACTAGCTCTCGACTCAGTCTGGTTAAGGTTGGGTGAGCAATATAGGGTTGAAAAAATTACACCTCTTTCCCAGTGACAGGGTGCAGGTAGAGAAGAGGATGCACCAGGCCTCCTCTTCGATCGGCCACCATGTATAGTCGATCCCAGCGAGAGTGCTGCTCGTCTGTCAGTGACTCAACCACCTCGTGTAGTGGCGTGAATACTGCAAAAAGAAAAAGGAGACGACAAGGATGGGATTCGAACCCACGCGTGCATAGCACAATGGATTAGCAGTCCATCGCCTTAACCACTCGGCCACCTTGTCTACTTGCGAGAAAGACCACATGGCCTCTCATTTCCAGCACACACCTGTGTCTCCCCGAGAGGGTACCGAGATGATGTGGTATATGGAATGGCTGTAGGGACACTCCTGAAAGCTACCGTCAATGTGCCATCCAGTCCGACCCACTCCCACACATCCTTCGTGCTCATCATTTGACACTCGGAACACCTTTCAACCAAAGGGGTGGATATAGAGTGCAATTACTAGGCATCTTCAAGGCGAAAACTTTATCATGGATTTCGAGATAGCGGAATTTTTTTATGGCTTCATTAATCTTGAGCATCATGTGGGGGGGAAGAAAACTCCCAAGTATCAGTGCTATAAAACTGGTCCGCGACCAACTTTTCTAAGCCCATTACCTCTTCATGACTACCCTTCACTCACCTCCGGATGTGCAGAGGCTGGATGATTATAGAAGGGACAGTCCAGCTCTCCGAACCAGTGGCTAATCTCCACCTGTCTGTGGGCACTGATCACCCCCTGGCCCCGGAACACCATCAGCCTGTAGCGAGCCACGTCCTCCTTTATGACGTCCACGGTCTCTCTCTCCACGGGCCGTCGGAGGTCTATTCCGCTCACCTCCACTCCGAACAGAGAGAGCGGAGTCACGTTGTAGGTTCGACGGCGGGTTAGCTGACTCTGTTCGTCGTCGGCCATTCCTTCACTCAGTTTGAAGTGGGCACTCGGGCTTAGATTGGAGACCTGCTGTGTGGTCGCTGTAAAGCACACGCAAACGCGGATCAGAGGCCTTATTGGAGGAGACAAAAACATATGCAGAGAGCCTCGCTTGAAGGAAAGGTGGAGCTACGCTCACGCATGCGCATAACTCCTTCGAGCCCCTCCCCCTATTTTGCAAGATCCGACATCCAGGTAGGTAGGTAGATACAGGGGCATGGCGAGAAACTGGCTCCAGACGAGAACTCGGGAGGAGCTCCAGCAAACGATCGGCTGGGGAGATCCTCCTGTTGTCTCCAGCAGAGACAAATTCTCCGCCCACCATCCCATGATCCCGCGACGTTACGTGCCAGCTTGGCAGCTGGACATGCAGAACAGAGGAAACATCATCAAGGTTAGACTAGTTGGCCCCACACGTCGGCTCCTCCTGGCAGCGCGTATCCGTACTCCATACGTTCGACTGTTGACGTATGTACGTACGCGTCTGCTATATAAATGTATGGGCATTGAATTTCTAATGTAGAACTGTGAACTGGCAGGGAACTCAATGTGGAGAGGTCACATTAGCTACTTCTTGAATGGAAGAGGTATAGCTACTATCGTGTATGTTTCAACAATGAGGTATCGAGGTAGAAAGGCAAACAAATCAACTACACCCAGGATAGTTCAACCTAATTGAGCCCAAGTTTCTTGAATAAGTTCTCAAACTCAAACTATTTTATATTGCAATCTAGTAAGTCTACAGTTATTCTTTGGTGCTTATCGAAGCTGTCTACTTCTTGGAGGTTATGAGAGGTTCCAATTTAGTTATGAAAGTTGACTCATCGATTTTGTATGAACTTTTTTCAGAGCGACTGAGTGCCACACGTCCAGTGCTGTACTCTAGTGTTCTGAACTACTCCCGGACTCTGAACAAGAGCTCATCTCCTCTCTCCAGATACAACAGCTCCGTAATGACCATGACTTCTTAGAAACTGGAGTCTCTCCAATCGTTACAATTATATAGTATTTCAGTGGAAAGATATTTTTTTTATATACTTCCTAAATATGTATATTATAGTAGCTACAACTCAGCAGATCCCGTAAGATAATATATATTGTATCCACCATGACAATGAAAACTCCTTACAGGTATACCAACAACAATAGGATTAATACGCAATACTCACACAAAGCAAAACTAAGGGCCACACTCACAATCACAGTTATATCCAAGCCTATAAAGTCACACGAGAGAAAGGGGGACATCACTCATTAGAAGAGGCTCCAAGGAGCCGCGGTCTTCTCTGTGGGGGAGGCTACAGTAGCAGTCGGGGCAAACGGATCGTTGGTGGCTGGTGGGGATGGGAGTGGCTGCGACTTGGGAGCTGCCTGTGCCTCAAAAGCAGACTCAATGCTCTGATCTTGAGTGCCATCCTCTTGAAATGCCGCGTCGAAATTGTCCAAGTCAAGGACCTGTGCAAGTGGATCTTTCTGCCCAGTAGACTCGCTGGATTTCTGTTGACTGCCTGTCGCTGTGGCTGTAGATACTGGGCTGGAGCTGGCTAGCAGAGGCTCAGGGATACTCCCTAATGGTTGGGTTAGAACAATGTCATCAAATGGCGAAGATGGCCAATCGACTACTTCTTCCCCTTTCTCTTCTGTGCTTTCCGCTGAGGTGATCGCTATGAAGCTTCTTCCTGCTCACTTCCTTTTTCTTCTCCTGCAGCTCGGCGAGAGTGGGTTTGGCCACCTTATTCACCTCGGGCTCAAACTCTTTCCGTTTCTCTGGGATTGGGGGGAGGTTTGGGACACCAGGTCAGCAAACATGCAATCTCTCTGTTCCCTTTGCAGGGCGATTTTCGGGGCATTCTGAGGAGCCAGACTGAGCTGCAGGAGGTCGCGGGGGGTGAATTAACGAGAGTTGGAGAGAGAATGCCGTCAAAGTTGTTGACCCCAACAGGAAGCATTGCCTGAGGCTCATCACATCTGGGAGCACCTGAGGTTGAGCTGGTACTTGCTGCATCATGACTGGTGGGCCAACGCCCTGGTCCTTGGGAAGTGAGGCATCTGCATTAGTCCCATCGGTGGAGACATCACTGCTGGAACCATTTGGTAGGGGACCTGAGCACGGTGGCGAGAACGGACCGGAGAACGATCCATTGGGTGTGTACGATTGGGACTGGTAGAGCTGGTTGACCAGTTGTATCGAGTCCTGTGTCATCACCGATGTAGGAGAAAAGACACCAGAGCTAGGGCTGGCAATTGGCGTGAAGGATGCGGCTGAAAGAAGCCCGATTCGTTGCTGCTTGTTGAGGAACTGGAAAGCGTTCAGGGGGGGAGGCGAGAAAGGGTCAGTGTTGGTGAGAATGCTCTTCACTTGTTCTTCGCTGTCGGGACTCAGGCTTACCTCTCGAGCTTCCCTCAACCCACCACCATCGGGTGGTGGGAGAGAGAGATGAGACTCAATGTGTCAGGGACCTCCCCTTGGGACGAGGCTCTCGATGCGTAGGTCAGCTTTACCCTCGGGGGTCGATGGAACAGAGTCAGACGTGTGGCTCTGTCTTGTCAACGTGGCCGTTGAAGACAAGATCGTCCAAAATCGATTTGTGTGTCTCCGTTCCTCTGAGGGACTGCCACAAGTGCAGGAGGCTTAGCACCACCAAAGGCGGCTGCCAAAGAAGCTGGCTGCTGAAAGGATCAGAGCCACTGGCTGTCATGATGTCTGGCAGGACTGGAGGTGGGAAGTTGAAGGAGGGTTCTGCTGGGAGGCCTTTGGGGCGGGACTTGCTGAGATTGTGTGAAGAAGCTGTAGGAGTCGAGGTCACTGGTAATTTGCTGGACTGGAAAAACCAGATCTGTTCTCCTTTCCCCTCTTCCTTTCTTCTCTTTCTCTGCTTTGTGAAAAGTGCGGTACACAGGATCTATGATGCATCTTACCTACTCATGCAGTGTGTACAGCTGAAAAGAGTTCCTAAACTAGCGTGATGTGTAGGTTGTGGTATGAACTAACCTTGGGTGTCAATCTCATCGAGTTCTTTCTCAAGTTCTTTCCATTCAGTAAACACAGCTTGTGTCGCTTCTCCTGCACAGGACAAACGCTCAGTAGTCACAGCTGTAGATGCGATCCAGAGTCACTGGCAAATCACTCGTGACTGCTGATGCTCAACTGTTAGGGTACTATAGAAATGGACTTCAAACTCTGGCCTGCTAACACAGAAGCGCCTATCTACGCATACGTCCGTCCAAAACACTCAGCACTATAGTGGGCAGAGCCACTATAGAGTATACTTACTGCAAAGGCAAGCTCTCGATTGATAGCATGTGTACTGACTACTCTGTACAGCTACCCTCCGTGGAGCCATCCGTCTGCTTTTCACATGCAATAAGGGTTTCCACCTGGCACGCTGGATCTATGGGACAATCATACACTCATGACATGGTGGTATGGTGGTTTGATCTCTTATCTAATCATAATGCTTCTGTCCACTAAATGACTGTGTATATACTACTCATAGACTCTCTGCGCTCGACCTCTGGCTCGACATCATGCTTGTCTGCAATAAATAGCCAGCCAAGTGAGTTTAATTGTGGTAGTCAGAAGGAAAACTCCATGTTTTTTTTTTTTTTGTGTGAGTACACAGGGACTAGAGACAGTAGATTGTCAGTTAGCATGTAATAACTCACCATGTTCCTTGGAGGTCTGATTGTCTGGGTTCAACTGTAGCTGGCACTATAGCCTGCGGTTCTACAACACAAAGAGAACACAGCTGAACTAAAACAGTCTTTTACCAACATTTGTACTGTGGTACACACACAAGCATACACTGCCGATGATTATATACTCCCACAGTAATTGTATATTGGCAGGTAAATCAATAGGCTTATTTGTATGGGTGTGTGGCGTGGTATTGGGTGAAAAAAACATATTCTTCTTGGGAAAAACTAAAGTAGTTGTATTATGCTAGAATGCAACAATGACGTCGTTAGACGGTAGCCTCAATAAATAAATTTTATTTATACAGCATCTAACGCCCATGTTGGGTTCCCCTATATTAGCCAGGTACACCAATGTGGGGGTGTTGAACAACTCATAATCTATGTATAAATAGAGCAAATAGTATGCTTTTTAGCTCTTTCTCACCAGAGTCTGGAAAGAGGAAATTGAAGGCAGTTATGGAGTCTGACTGTTGACTCAGCCGCCTTGTAGCTTGCCTGCCGCGCCATCTTGTTTTCTTGGCTCGATCAGACGGGCCATGAAATGTTGACAAATCTAGTCCCGTGACTGAGACGCTGATTAAAAGTTATTGCCTGAAGAGAGAAAAACAAACCTCGTGTATTCTGTTCTGCAGTAATACAGGATAATAGATATCGCGCTAATTGATGATTTGTCCATACATCTTATGTATTTGTTTGGCATGTAGAGTGGATATGTTTTATCCTGTTACAGGGGTATACATTCTGTTAGCTTTACTACTTGTGGGATGGCACAAAAGCGTGCCGTCGCCCAGTCCTTGGAAGAGATTGTGTCGTTCTGCGTAGATGAAAAGAAGACATGAGCTGTCGGCTGGGTCCAGACACACTGTTAAAGAGATCTTGTCCAGGCGGAACTTTGAGTTTTCTTGACGCATTTGTCTGTGTATTAAATGTACAACAACCAGGATGTCACAGGTCGAAAGAGTGTGTGTGAGTTTGAGTCAGGGATACAACACACTCTGTTATTATAGCTCAATGAAAGGGAAAGGAAAATTTTGTGACACAAAAAATGTACAAAGTAGCATTGTGCATACAAAATGCAGCAAGTTTCGATCATCGACCCTCACCGTTGGATTTTTTCTAGTCAAGTGACGGTGGATTCCGCTAGATGCTTGACGATGGGTGACACAACCCTTAGGAAGGTTGACCGCAGGCGTCATGGAAAACCGCGGAATGCGGATCGTCTCGCTCTTTGATGTGGTCTTAGGCGCGCAATGAAACTGCTATCCCTTGGAGCTGCTAACCTCCTGCGTACCTAGATGTACTGGTGTAAGAACAGTCGTAGTAGCTACAATCGGTGTAACGCTATCTATGTTCTATATCGTGTATCGGGAGCTACGTGTAGTAGATAGACCTTACTTTGGAAGCTTTGGCCCTTCCGGAATTACTTCGGCTGCGATCTGCCGAGCTTTCTCGGCCGCAGAGGATGTGCTGTGTGTAGCAGATAAAGGGTAAGGGGGGGTCCGGTGGGGGGGTGAGGTTGGTGATTGATGCGCTCGCCAAGTTGTAAACATACACGGGGACGGTACTGTCTTTGGGTAGCATGAGTTATGGTCGATATCTTGGCTTTCGGCTACCTGCGGGGTCTTTTTGTTTAGTTCGTCTCACTCGTGTGGATGACACTAAAGTTTGCCGTTTTGCGCTGATTCTTGTTTTCATTATGTAGGCGAGTACCTCGTTAGTGATCTTGATGGGACGCTTCGATTTCTTACGCGCGAGGCACGCCGTGCGCGAATGGCGCACGTGGTATTCTTGGTCAGAATAAGAGAATGTTTTGCTCGGCCATCCGCGAAAAACGTTGTCATCAATAAGCATAGAGAAAACATGGTGGATTTTCTAGATGTATTCAAGGTTTTTTGAAGTTTTGATGCGTTTGATACGTTGGTGGCTGTATAGTGTTAGGAAGTATACGTGGACGAAGCTCAATTCTTACCTACCGTTTAATCACCGAAGGACTCATTGAACGGCCCTGGGAGTGGGCCGCCAACCAGCAGTAAGTCCTGAATTGTTACGCATCTCAGCGCATGTAGTGGAGGTGGGAATAGGTTGTGGGATGCACGACGCAAAACTGTGGTGGAACAGGTTCAACTTGTACAGGGCAGTACGTTGGGCACAGTCTGTCTTCGTGGGTGTGCGTGTAGTATGACAGGTTCTGTTCGTGTTGATCTTTATTCGGCGCGGACGATGCCACGTGTGAGGCCGTTTCTTAGTTGTTGGGATAGCGGCTATGCTTATGAATTCGAATTAATGTGATTGCTCGAAGACATTTACCTCCTTAGCCTTGAGACGCACAATACGACCCCAAAGGGTCCTGGTTTACCCCCCATTGCAGTATTGGTTACCACATGTGTCTATGTAGAGGCTTTAGCTACAGGTTAAAGGCAAACGGGAGTAGAGCTTTACCTAGGTACATGCCTGACGGAATGTGCTACAAGGTTATCAGAAAGCGGGATTGCAAGCTAAGTGGCCAATTTATGGTTTGGTGATATGGTGAAAGGTACGACACTTTCAATCCTCCACCCACCTCCCCCTTGCGTACATGATCTAAGTATATATTTGTTGCATGCACAGCGAATCGCCTGCGTAAGTTTACAATGTAGAGTGAAAGTTGCTAGGGGTTTTTTTTTATCCGAGTGTTGAGAATACAAAGCCCTCCTATGAGTAAACAGCGGCCGTGCCATAAAGTGGATCCTAATGCGCGATTTTGGCTTCCGCGTTACCTGTTTACTTCGTTTGACTCGGGCGACTTTTGGTGAGCTATACATTTTCGAGACGCGCGGTGAGAGTACGTCTCCTTGCCGGTCTTAGCGAGAAGGTTGGTTTTGACGTGCCTGAGTTCAACGAAACATTTCTCACCTACTGATGGCTGCCCGGCTTGGGAATGTGTGGGGTGGTCCGTACGTCAGTGGGAGTAGTAGCGAGAAGGTCGAAAAAAGAGAATGGGTGAGATCGTGGGGTAAGTAGTAGGCGAAAGAATGGTGAGATCGGGGGACAAATATGAAATGTCAGAAGAGGGATTATGGGGAGGGAGCACAAGAATCTGGGGAAAGACGCAATTTTGATGCGAGGAGGGGAAAAACAAGTACTGTTGAACGATATAGGGTGTGGGAAAAAGACGGATGTCAGCGCACAGGGGAACCGCACAAAATGTTGAAGGAATTTGGTTTTATTTTGAACTCGTGAGTTTTTTATTGTGAGTTATGGGAAAGGGGTGAGGGGGAGGGGAAGAAAAGAGTAGCAGACAGTAACACGTACAGGAGATTAGGAAAGGGAGGCGCGGGCTAGAATAGGGTCAAACTGATTGTTATTGGATAAGAGCAAGTGGAGGACAAAAGGGGGAGTTGAAAGTTTGTAACAAGGAGGGCGGTGATTCTTAGTGGAGGGGGGGACGGTGCGAGCTTATCGGTTAAGAGGGAAAATGATGTTTGGCAGTCTTTTGTG